AGTCTTTTTATTTAGTTTTGCTAAAAGGTGTATCAGTTGTATTCATCTTTTCAAAGAACCCATTTTTTAATTGAGTTACACACAAACTGGGGCTCAAACCCAGAAGCCCAAGACCAAGAATCTCATGCTCCACCCACTGAGCTAGCCAGACGCCCCTAGTTGAATTGTTTTCTAATCGTTGAGAGTTGAGTCCTTTTATATTTTGGAAGATTTGTTTTGCAAGATTTCCTCCTACTCTGTGGATTATCTTTTCATTCTTTTTAACAAAGTTCAATTCATCATTTTCTTTTTCTTTCATATACATTGCTTTCGGTGTTGTCAAAAAAGTCGTAACCAAACCCAAGGTCACCTAGATTTTGTGTTACCTTCTAGGAGTTCTATAGCTTTATATTTTTACATTTAGGTCTAAGCTTTCAAGTAAGTGGTTATTTTTGTTACTGATTTCTAACCTAAATATAGTCCTAGAAATCTGTGTAATTTCAGTCCTTTAAAATCTGTTGAAACTTGCTTTATGACCCAGGAAATGGTCAAATGTTTTAATATTGTGTGTTCTTGAACATACATGTTTAAATTGTTGCAATTTCCTGTACATGCCTATTAAGTTAAATTGTTCAGATCTTCCACACTTTCCTTGATTTTTATCTATTATACTTTTATGTAGCAAATAAGAGTTTAAGTGTCATATGCTATGATTTTGGATTTCTTCTATTTCTCCCAAATTTTGTTTTATATCTATTTTTTATTTATTTATATCTATATCTAGATATATATCTATATCTATTGAGACCACATTCTTGGGAGGAATATGTGGAATCGTTATGTCTTGCTGGTTAAATAAACCTTCCATCATTATCTAAAGCTCTCTCTATCCCTGGTCATACCTTTTATCTTCAAGACTATTTTGTCAAAAACTGACAATAGCTCTATGTATTGAATATTGTGATGTTCTGCCCAGATCCTCCCTCAGGATTGAAGGACGATTCCCTTAGCTGCTACAAGTGCTGTCACATGATGGCCTTCACTTGTCAGCCCGCTGCGGGAACTGTCCTCAGCTGGAAAGAGCCACTTTACCCAAGGCCATTCCCTCTCCCCGGGGACAGCCTGCATCCGGCGACCAGTCAGAACAGGTTCCAAAGGTCCCCTTGCCAGTGCTCCTCTCTCCTCTCTCCTGTGGAACTCCAGCTGAATCTTTGCCTTCTGTCTCTGTTCTACGCGCTTCTCTGTGGGCTCTTCCAGCCGCTCTTCCAGTTCACCAGCTATCTTATCTGTTCAGCCTAGTTCTAGAATTCCTGGTGGTGTTTCGGTTTTTGGTTTGTTTTCCTCTGTTGCTTAGAGTTGTTAATACTATATTGCATTTTATTTTTTTTAAGACTTTATTTTATTTGTCAGAGATCACAAGTAGGCGGAGAGGCAGGCAGTGGGGGTGGGGAGCAGGGGGTGGGGCTCCATCCCAGGACCCAGAGATCATGACCTGAGCCGAAGGCAGAGGCTTTAAGCCACTGAGCCACCCAGGCGCCCTGTACTATATTCCATTTTAAAGTTTGGCTTTCTCTCTCTAAAAATGGTAGTAATAATTGTTTGATGTATCTAATGATTTCAATATCTAGTCCCAGTAAGTATCTGTTTCTTCTGTATCACGGATGGCTATGTCTCGAAGTGTTTGCTAATTTGCCGAACCTCTTGAGAATTCGTTTTTGGAAATAAGAGAACTAAGATAATGCTAGCTTCCTTCACAATAAGGTTTAACTTTTGTCTGGTCCTTACTGTGCGAGAAGCTCAGGGAGCAAAGCTTGAGGTCCTCCAAGTTCATATCCTCACTCCAAAGTAAGCCCTTTGGGGATTCAGTCCACAAGAGTGAGCACCTGAGGCACTGAGCTCTGCCCTGCAGTATTTTGCACTCATGTCACCTCAGGCAGCTCTGTCTCTGCTGCTTTCTAAAGCCCAGGGAAGTGTAGCAGCAAAGGGGAATGTATCTTGCTAGTTCCAGAGAAGGTACATCTCCTTCCTTTTCTTGAGTAAAACTCCAACAAAGGCTTTGATTGGTGTTTCCAACCTCATGGCTGTATTTTCATAAATACAAGATGAAACTAAGTATCTAGCGTTTTAAGGTTTACAGTAGTATTAAGGGCAGAACTTAAAAGATGATCCCCATGATCACCGTGCCACCTGCCTGGCCCTGTGTCACACCTGTGATTATGTTACATTGCACAGTAAAGGAATTTTGTGTAACTAATTAAGATCACAAATCAGTGGCTTTTGAATTAATCGTAAGGGTGATTATCCTGTAGGCCTAATGTAATTACATGAGTTCCTTAAAAGCAGAGTTTTCTCTAGCTGGTAGTATAAGATGAAGTCAGATTCCAAGTGTGAGAATGAGTAAGATTCAACATGCCACGGGTGCCTTGAAGATGAAGGAACCCATGGTGAGGAATATGAACAGGTTCAAGAAGCTGGGAGCTTCCCACACTCCTGGCAGCCAACAACAAAGCAGGGACCTTGGTCCCACAACCACACAGAACTGAATTCTGCTAACAACAGGTGTGAGCATGAAAGAAGGTAATAGCAAGTTCTGGCTGAGCAAGCAGCCAGCTAGCACTTTGGTGTCAGTGTCAGCCTTATGACACCGAAACTCTTAAGCAGAGAACCCGCCATGCCATGTTGGCCTTCTTACCATGGAACTGTGAGATAATAAATGGATGTTGGTTTCAGCCATTAAGTTTGTGGTCATTGTTATGCAATAAAAGAAAACTAACACAGGAGTCAGTCTTTTCTTTGCCTTCCACCAAGATTCACAAGGTGGTGAGATTTCACAAGCACAAAGGTTCAGATACTAGGATGCCAAAATGAGTAAGAGCTAGCATTAAGGGAACCACCAACTACTTAAGTTATTCTGTTGTGCAGTTTTGTGGAAACTAGAAGAAACATCAGGGCCCAGCTCTTAAAAATGCTCCAGCCTTCTAAGGCAGCTGATGGCAACATGTACCTGACAAGATCAGTGCCCTTTTATGTTAGCTGTAGATAACCTTCTGAGTAGAACTCCTGAGTTGACCAAACATTTAGCAAATTATATAAATGAATACATGCTATAGTGAATTAAAGCACACAAATACAAAAGAACAAGTATATACAAAATCTTTATAAATTCACTGCACCAAAAGTATACAAGCAGTATTGATTCGTTGGGACAAAAATGAGTGTTTTTGTTCTCCCCAGATCACTGAATGAAGACATTGTACAGTTCTGAGAAGTTATTCGTAGAAACTGAACTAGGCTGAAAACAGTACTGTCTTATGAAAATGACAGTTCATGGTGGAAATGAAACTGGGTGTGTTACACACCCGCTGTGTAACAACACGACCCAGTAACAGTACTCACCTGCTTGCTGGATGAGGCTTTGATTTATAAAACACCTGTATTTCCAAGACTGTGTAACATCTCTACTTATAAATTAATTCACAGGATTCCTACGGTTGCTTTTTAGCTTCAAATGGATATGAGCAAAAATAACAAAATGATCCCTTTGCAAGCAAAACATCTGCCTTCTTAAATGCAAACATCACATGAGATTAGAGTACAATTTCTTAACCTCTCCTCTAAAAGGTCTGTGACACGAAAGAAGAGATCGACTCCTTGTTATACCAACCTGGAGAAATCTGCTGTGTCCACTGCTCTTACTTCATTGACTGCCCCAGGCCTCAAGGCCCTCAGGGGATTGCCTGTCTCTGACACCCAGAAATGTCTGCATAAGTCAAGGAGACCGATCCAGGGACGAGAAGGCCCTGGGTGCACTGGACTGGCTCACAGCTGAGCTGGCAGGACAGGGTGTGTGAGGCAAGCATGCATAGCTCCCACCCTGAGCTTCTGCTTTACCCACTTCGCTCATGATTTGGGTACCTGGTTGGCGGGCAGTGGGTGGAATGTGTCACAGATCTGAGTTCTTGAATAATGCACCCTTTGCCAGGGTTTATCGCTCTGTAGAAGAAAATGGAATGGAGAGGAACCTACCTGCCAGTAAAAACCACCTTGTCCCCTCCATCTTCCAAACCCTCATTCCCTCTCTATGAAACGAACTATTAAAATCCTCTCTCCTTGTACCAGCAGGAGAGGGAATAAAGTTCTGCAGACACCCATGGTGGAGAGAGCCTCCAAATCCAGCAAGCAAGACCTTTAGTGCATATATAATGGATTCCCGTTAAGACCAAAATGTAATGTTTCAGTTAGATGCCGTGTTGGCATCTTGATTCCTTGGTAGGGTCTAATTTTCCCTTGAGATTGTGTTTTGGCCAATTTCCTGTTTAGAAACAGGAGTAGGAACAGTCAAACCTTTATTAAAGAAATTATAAAAGGCAAAATTATTAAAGGCAAAGCAGCCTCATGTCAGTTTACCAGCTCATTTGGGAACATTCAAAAAAAAAAGTAGGACCCTCTCCTATATTCAGGATTTTTCCACTCATGCGAACCATCTAAATTCTTATTTGAGTAGCCTGAGTAGCGTTTCATTAGGCTCTACTTATCGGAGACCAATACTGGGTAAGATCGATTTAAAAAGAAAATCTCTAAAGTAAGCTTCTCTCCCAATGAGGAAAGAGGTGGCAAAAATTCAAGTGTCAGTTTCCCTTTTCCCGGGAAGAGGTTTAGAAAAACTCAACAGCTCACCTTTTGAGCTCTACAAGTTCCTTGTGAAATGCTCTTAGCATTAGAATCAGATCTAAAATAAAAGAGGCAGAAAAAAATAATTACAAAACTGGGCATTCCTTAAACACACAGACCCTTGCTAAGACCGGGAGAACCATACAAAGGAGAGGCTAAAAGGAGGGACAGTAACATGCTTGGCGAAAGAGGAAAAAGAAAACCAGGGCACAGCCTCCAATATCCATTTTCCAGGCCAGAAAAGGGTGAGCCCGGCCAGAGCTTCAGCCTCCTGGCCCCGGCAGCAGACTCCCCTCTATCTGTGGGCCTCGAGAAGGCTGCACCTGGACAGTGTGCTCACACTGAGACTTGCAAACTCACTGTATCTGGTAGCTGTTCTCCCGAGAGAGCAGAACCATCTGGCAAGCGTACAGGCAAGTGTTTCCATTCTTCTAATGAAACAGGCTGCATTAAAATGAACAACAAAGCCGGCCCAGAACCAACCAGCCAGCGGGGATGTAGTGCAAATGTCGCGCTCGTGGAAGGCCGTCCGGGAGGCTACACGTTGGTTTCCAGTCCTAGCAAGCGTCCCATTCTCTCCACGTTCTTGTCAATTGTAGCCTGACAGGTTATCTCCTTGGCACATTCCATAGGAAACCAGCCCCTCTCTCCATCTCGCAGCCGTTCCCCCTCATACCAGCCTGCAAATGAGAGCAGAGTCCCCATGAAGCGACGGGGCTGTGGGGGAACCGGAACCCTGCCCGGCTCGGGGAGGACGTGAGCGAACTTCAGAGGCAGCAGCTTACCCTGGCTGGTGCGTGACTGAGGACAGAAGGCGAGCAGAGAAGGCAACAGAGGGAAGTGCCTCAGGAAGGAATGAATGACTTACCGGAGGTGGGACACCACAGGGGCCCCGAAGGGAGCATAAGAGCCCAGGAATTGGGCTGAGCTGAGGAAGGGGACGCTACGCATAGATGGGGGCAGCAGGAAACGGATTTTTTTTTTTTTTAAGTGAGGAAGGAAGAACCTCTGGAGATGAGCACTTAAGTCACTGGGGGCTAGGAAGGAAGGACGATCATTCAAGGTTGCTTTTCAATCATACACCATGTGACTGCATTCCTATTCGAAAACATGAAAAGCAATAGTGTTGATAGAGGAAAGGCAGGTGCATATGAGAAAACCAAAGGGATATGGAATGTGAGCGTTAGAAACAAAACCAGACTCCTCTCTTCTTTGGCACCCCAAGAGCTGCGTGGGGTGTGCCCATAAGAACCCCCACTCACCATCGCTGACCCGCTGATAGATGAGAGCCACATCTGCCACCTGCAGGGAGAGTTCATCTGGCTGCTTGGCAGTGAACGATCTAATGATTTCCACCTGGGTCAGTGCTGAGAGGGAAAGGGGGGACACGCTGAGCAGAGGAGAACCAGACAGGTACAAATCGATACTGTACCTTTACTCAGTCTTTCTGTGCATCAAGGCCGGCGCTGGCAGAAACAAGTTAAGCGTCTACCAAACAGAAACTCTGTTCCAGGAACTGTCTTACTTGGCTAAGAGCCTTAGAACTTTAGAAGCTCTGGATCGTGAGAGGCCTTTTGTGATGCACAAATTCCCTCAAATAGAGCCAGGACAAGCTACACACAATAGAGCAGATAACACCCACTGTGCATAGGGGAAACTGAGGCCAGACAGATTAATGTGCCAAGGCCATGCAACTAACACCAGCATCTGCAGTACATCCATTCCCCCGGCTCCCATCCACGGGGCTCCCCAGCCGGTCGGCACAGGAAAGCTGCCAAAGATGTTCAGAAATAAAAGGAGCTCCAAGCAAAAGTTGGACATTTTAGAGTTCCCCCAAAATGCTAAATCATAAGCAAACATTATAACTTCAGTGACTTGGGACTGACTTGAGTTCTTAATTTGTTATTTATTAATAATAGAAAACTTTATTCTAGACAACTTTCAAACCAATCACTTTAGTTTTGGCTCTAAGCTTAAAGCTATGGTTTTGGAGCACTCCAAGATAACCAGTTTTGCTGCCCTAGTTCTTTTGATTTGACCTTCCAGCTAGAAATACCCAGAGATGCCTAACATCAAAGTTAAGTCGCTATTAAGCACAGGACACCGCCCTTTCCTGCATCCGTTCCTATTGCCCTAGAAGAAAGAAATGCATTTTCTTAATAGTATCACTTTAATAAATAAGGCCAAAAGGGATGGTAAAGTAATTTTCTTTCAGCTTAGCTTCAGACTGTCGTATGGAGAAGGCTTAAACATCAGACTCTTGCCCGTTAACAAGAGCTGAAAATCTAAGAGCTTTACAGGACAAGCAGGGCTTTCAACATAGGCTCTTTAACTTAATCCTGACGATAAACCGTATTGTATATAATAATGCAGCTGACTCGCAGGAGATTAAACAAGCTCAGGAAAGTTTTGCAATGATTTGCCACGTTGACATAACAAAGAACTGCACCTTGGATTTGAATTCAGATCCTCTGGCTTCCAAAGCAGGGATCACAGGATTCTGTGATGCAGGGCCATAGGAACTACTGCTCGGACAAGAACCACAGAGCAGGGATTGTGGAGGTGAACCATTAACAACCCAGTGTCCAGCAGGGGGCACAGCCCCTCCATGTTCCAGAGCTGGCTGCCCTCCAGGTACTTACAGGTTCGGTCCAGAGGCTGCTTCCCGCTGCTGTGTCCCAGGGCAGTTATCCAGCGGGCTCGCTCACTCCTAAACAGAGAGGGTATATACAACTGAGAGACTCAAGGTGCTGGGACAAAGAAATCAAAGCCGTTCCAGAAAATGGGAGATTCCCTGAAGAGTTACAGGGCTGGCCTTTAGAACAGGGGGTATGAGTTACTTAAGAAACATAATCCGGGGAATCTAGGCTGAACGCTAGTCATTGCCGTTAAAAAGATTCTGAATGAACCTGGCTACTTATTAAGTGGAATTTCTCACGGGACAGTTTAAGATTTAATATAGAGATGATTACACCAACACATAATCACATAAAGATATTTAGACTACTCTGTCTGACTCAACATTTCTAAACAATAAATTTCATTTAAAAAAATTCCAGTAAGTCAGTCTCTCTCCATTCTCTCTTCCTCCCCCTACACTCAAAGTACTTCAAGAAAGGTGAATCTAGACATATTTAAAGTTCCTCTTCTGGCTGAGATTGCCAAACTTGAGCCTTACTGAAATAAACAGAAATTCTTTGAACTTTTTTAGACTGTTCCCAAATGCTTAAAAGGACTTAATGAACAGAGCCAAAAAAAATTTTAAGGAAAAATACAACTGAGACTTTTTAAATATTAATAAGCTATAATTACATGAAACAAAATAATTATTTAACTGAAGGATCAGAAGTCTCAGATAAGCATTATTCCATAATACAGTTATCCCCAGTTTTTGATTTGGGAAGTCAAGTATCAAGATTGCAATTAATTAAATTAGGCATGCACACGCACACACACAGACTTTAAAGTCTCTTAAGAAGCATGGATTAGGGACGCCTGGGTGGCTCAGCCATTAAGCCCTTGCCTTCGGCTCAGGTCATGATACCAGGGTTCTGGGATCGAGCCCCGCATCAGGGCTCTCTGTTCAGTGGGAAGCCTGCTTGTCCCTCTCCCCCTCCCCCTGCTTGTGTTCCCTCTCTCGCTATGTCTCTCTCTGTCAAAAAAAATAAATAAATAAAATCTTTAAAGAAAAAGAGAAGCAGCAGCAGCAGGAGCACTGATCAAACCCATACTATAGGGGCACATGCAGCTCAGGTCATGATCCCAGGGTCCTGGGATCAAGTCTACATCAGACTCCCTACTCAGTGGGGACTCTGCTTCTTCCTCTCCCTCTGCTCTCCCCTCATTCCTTGAGGGAATAAAATAAACCCATACTACATGGCGGATGAAGCATTTGACATCCATTATTTCACATTATCCCCCAAAAGGCCACTGAAAGGATGAGAAGGCTGCATGGAGGTCCTGAGGCAAGTGATCCAAACCAAGGTGAGTTTTGACTCTGCACTCGGCCTTCTTAGCAAGGGATGCCTTTATGCCCAGGGCTTGAAAAAATTTTTTTTTCTTCTACAACAGCCTGTACCTAAAGGTGCTTCTTGCTGTTACACCACCTTCCCCGCCCCTCAGGTATCTTTCCATCTGGGCGGGATAGACTGCTTCCTGGCCTGAGGCACACGCTGTCCCACACCCTTTCCTCCCTGCCCTTCTTGCTCTCAAGTAGGACCTTCTCCCTGTTTCTACCCATTCAGCTCACTCTTCATCAACAAAGAACATACATAAAACCCTGCACTAATCTTCAGTGTATACAGATCCCTGGGTGGTTTCATAGGTGCACCCGACACCTGTCCCTTCCCCATCAATAACCACCCACAGAAGGAACCACCGCCACAGACTAGCTGCACCTTTCTTATGCTTTATGAAAATGGAATCCTACAGCACGTCCACTTTTGTGGACTTTTGACTCAGTTCTGAAAACGCAAGCCTCACCTCCTCCAGGTGGCCTCCTCAGATGCAGAAGCCCAAACCTCCATCCTCAACCAGTCTGTCGGTCCTGCTCCCAGTCTCTCCCCTGCACAGCCCTATCCCACTGCCGGCCAGCTGTAAGCCTCGTGAACGCAGGCATCTTGTCTGCTCAGTCCACTGCCTCATCTCCAGAACACTGCCCAGTACATAACGAGTCCTGAAAACAGCTGTTAACCTAAGGAATCAGTCAGTCATCACGCACCACCCCCCACGGCCTCACTCATCTGTTTCTCCCCTAGGCCATCAACCTCAGAAGGGCAGGAACTGGGTCTCGTTCTAAATCGTTATGGAGCACTTATGTGCCAGCGACAGTACTGTTTTGTATTTTGCAAGTCCCATCGAATTTCATCTTTACAACAATCGTGGAAATTAAATAGCAACATCATTATTTCCATTGTGTTGTTCCGAGGACGAAGCCGGTCTGGAAGGTTAAGAAGCACTTGCTCCCGGAGACAAGGCTAAGAGGTAGAGTCAGCATCTAAGCCAGGGAGTCCGGGGACTAAAAGGCGGTGCTCCCTAGCTGGTGCTCACAAAACACTGAAGGAAGTCAGGGAGGGTGGGAACTGCAGTGTGCTGAAAGGCGGACTCCTGTAAGAAACTGAGGCTGGGGCCCAGTCACACCGGTGCATCAAGGAGTAAGTGATGTGCGCAATTTACGGAGACACTGATGGTACCGCTTGCTCTTTGAAACCCTGCTACAGGCCACAAAGGGCTTCAGGGTGGTTTTATGAAGAACAATTACTTTATAAAGCACAACCTCCTTTCAAATGATTCCACGCACAGGGCGCCTGGGTGGCTCAATGGGTTAAGCCTCTGCTTTCGGCTCAGGTCATGGTCCCAGGGTCCTGGGATCAAGTCCTGAATTAGACTCTCTGCTTGGCAGGGAGCCTGCTTCCCTTCCTCTCTCTCTGCCTGCCTCTCTGCCTACTTGTGAACTCTCTCTGTCAAATAAATAAATAAAATCTTTAAAAAAAAATAAAAATAAAATGATCCCACGCAAGCACTTCCATCTTTGATACCATCTCTTCGTCGGAAAAGATCTATTTTTATACTCGGGCTCATGCGGAACTTCTAAAGCACAAAGGCAACTGAAAACGAAGTCCTACTTGCCAGATGGAAGACCCGTTCACCAAGAGAAACGAAAGGTGACCGTGTGCATCCCCTTGTGCCACAGCCGACCACGGCAGCCTCCTCTTGGCCTCCCACCTCTGCGTGGCCCTGACTCCCATCTGCGGCCCTTTGAGTCCCGCCCTGGACACAGCCCGCTTCTGGCATCCGGTGGCCCGTTTCAGGGACGGCCTGACCCTGCAGCCAGTTTCCAGAAGTCCAGATGAAACCTCTCACTCCCGTGGCATGCTGCCTGGATGCTAATGGCCTCCCTTTGACACCACGGCCCCTCACAGAGCCTCGAGAGGACAGAACAAGACACTCCTTGTTGCCCTCGCTGAAAGGAGACGCTTCTTGAAATGGCTTCAATAGAGCCGGTCCCCCCCCCCCCCCCCCCCCCCCCCCACATGGCGTCAAAACCGCACAACTCCCCCCCCCCGGGGCCTCCGAGAGCCCTGCCAAGGAGCTCCTTCCCACTAGGAAGCAGAAAGCACTGCATCCCTGAAGCAGGGAGGAGACTCCCTCAACAGAGGAGGGAATTCTAAGAACAAGAGAACCCTGGGGCACAGACATACCCATTATTAAACTGAGTTACGGAGTGTGGGGCTCGGTCGAAGATGCTCTTTTCTCCGGGGACAGGAGGAAACAATCCATGTGAATTCACAGCCCGCCCCACCCTCTGTTCAAAAACTTTTCCCTTTGCCCAAATAAAGTGAGAGAATGCGGAGCACTGCATTCGTGTGGACGTGGGCACATCACCTCCGAGATGCCCGGCCACCGCTTCCGTGGACCACCAATCGCCGAGCACCTCTGGCCTCGCATGAGCCCTGTGTTAGGACGGGCTTGCAAAGGGAATAAAACAGGGTCTCTTGCTCTCAGCAGCCCCCAGCATGAAGGAGCAGAGAGGAAAGAAAACAAACACACAGAATCCAACACAGTGTGCGACGGGCTGTGTGTGGTAGAACATTCTGCTTAAGGCACTTGACACCCGCAGAGAGAGAGAAGACCGAGTGAGAAGAGACATCGGACATAAGTATCTGCACGTGAGCCTTCTCCTAAGACCCAAGTTCTCCACACACGGTATACCATCAGGCACCCCCGGCTCCCTCCACAGGAGCCAACTGCAGTCACACAGTAGGGTTAAACCTCACTGCGCAAAAGTCAAAGACACGAGGCACCTGGGTGGCTCAGTGGGTTAAGCCTCTGCCTTCGACTCAGGTCATGATCTCAGGGTCCTGGGATCCAGTCCCACATCAGGCTCTCTGCTCAGCAGGGAGCCTGCTTCCCCCTCTCCCTCTGCCTGCCTCTCTGCCTACCTGTTCTCTCTCTTTCTCTGTCAAATAAATAAATAAAATCTTAAAAAAAAGAAAAAAGTCAAAGACACAAAGCTGGACTTCTCACAGGCTACCAGGCATCTGCTAGAAAACAAATGTGTACCAAGAGCACGGAGACTAGGCTCTGAAACGAAGACACAGGGCCACAGAATGGGGACTGAAGAGCGTGGGGCGTGTCCACGGAGGACTTCACCGAAGTGAGCTTTAACCAGCAGCCAACCGATGGCGGATTTTTTTTTTTTTAAGATTTTATTTATTTATTTGAGAGAGAGCAAAAGCAATCACAGTGGAGAGGGTTGGCGGAGGGAGAGGGCAAAGGGAAAAGCACACTTGTCACTGAGCAGGGAGCCCAAGACAGGACGTGTTCCCAGGACCCTGGGATCATGACCCAGACTGAAGGCAGACACTTAACTGAGCCACCCGGGCGCCCCAGGTGGCGGCTCTCTACCCTCCCTTGCAGCATCTTGCAGTGGTAGCCAGCCAAGTACTTTCTGTGTTCCTTCCCACAGTCTACAAATTTACCTACACTTCCTTTTCAAACTCCTGTACCCATGGCCTTTGGGCAAAAGTCCTTCACGCCTCTGTGAAGGGTGGGATTGTGAGGATGGTGGTGGTTTTTGTTCATTCTCTCACACATTCAGTTCAACCAGATGAGTTCAATGAACGGCTCCATGAAAGAAAGCCCAAAGGGTCAAAGGGTCTTCATGACGCTGTACAACAGAATTTAACAAAGCCGAACACACGCTCAACT